ACTAATGTGTTGATATATTAATCCTATGAGCAGCAGAAACAAAATATTAAATAATTCAATATGATTAACTTTCTTCTGTGTTGGGTTTCATAAAGGTTTTAGCTCTAGAAAACTAACTTCGGTAAGATTGAAAAAAAAAGTCACAGTGTGAGAAAGTAGTGGCATAAATTTGAATTTTTTTTTCCTCCTAATCCTCTGGGAGAAGATTGAGGTATTGGTTTTTATCTGATATAGACAAATATGTATGTATAAATGTGGTTGCATTGGTGCAGTGACATCAGTTGCAGTATGTGATATTGCATTATAAAACAAAGCAGCTAGAAAACCAATAAATACAGATGCTAGTTAACTTACCCAATTTGGGTCAAATTGTATGGATTCAAGGCTTCCAATTGTCAGCCATTTGATCATTGTTGCACATGCTGTAACTAATGAATATGCATGGTATAAGTTATATTCATTAAGGTTATGCAATATATGAAGGTTTAATTGTCAAGAATGCGCTCTGACAAATCAAAGCGAGTCAAGAGTAACATCTATTAAGTAATAAAGTAAAATCCAATTTAATGATTGTTAAATGTTTCCACAATTTCAATAATGATCTGAATTTCATGATTTATCAGTACATGGTGAACAGGTTTGGAGTAATTTGATTAGATTTTATGTTTTTTGTAATTCACATAAACCCTTGTGAGCACTAGGAGAATATGGTTCCTCAAACACAGTTTGTGAATCAAGGGATAGTCCTCCACATTTGAAAAATAAACAGCCAAACAATCCACAGGGAAGATGTTAGTGGGCGGACGCAGTATCTAAATTCTTTGTTTACAAAACTGGACAATATAAGTTAATTTGTATTGACTGAATCGTGCTGTTTTCTTATCAACAAAACAGTTTTGCTGACTAAACTGTGTCATGCAGAAAGTAGTTTATCAGATGCAATTTAGGTCACAATCAAACTTGCAAAGACTTCTTACTAGTCTAAGCTTACTAATAATTAATATACAATTTTGTAATTTAAACTTTGGAATATGACCTTAGTTTTTCAGTTGCAAATATTTGATATCTATATTCAATAATATGGCTCAAAAATTTACTATTGTGTATGTGTATTGTTAGTTTGGTCCAAGTATTGGAGTAGTAGTAATCAATAGGGTGACATGAAATAACTTGTGAATTTGTCTGTGAATACAAAGAACAGTTGATTGTATGGTTATTGTCATGAGAAATAATAGCAGACCACTACAGGTAAAGACAGTATCATAAGGTAAAGGACTATACATTTAGGATAAGGACCACTAAGTAAAGACAATATCTTAAATTGAAGGACTATACTTATATGCCAAAAACCATACATTCAGGATAAGGACTACTATAAGTAAAGACAGTATCATAAGGTAAAGGACTGTACATTTAGGATAAGGACCACTAAGTAAAGACAATATCTTAAATTGAAGGACTATACTTATATGCCAAAAACCATACATTCAGGATAAGGACTACTATAAGTAAAGACAGTATCTTGAAGTGAAGGACTATACATTTAGGATAAGGACCACTATAAGTAAAGGCAGTATCTTAAAGTGAAGGACAATACATTTAGGATAAGGACCACTATAAGTAAAGACAGTATCTTAAAGCGAAGGACTATACTTGCATACCAAAGACCACACATTTAGGATAAGGACCACTATAAGTAAAGACAGTATGTTAAGGTCAAGGACTATACTTGCAGGCAAAAAAAAACATACATTAAGGCCAAGGATGCTAAGGATTATACCTTCAATCTAAGGGGTCCTGACATTTACATGGTGGATGTACAGAGTAAAAACTAAGAGCCAAATATTTTTTTCATAACTTGAACAAAAAAAACTAAAAGCAGTGTTCTTGTTAGGATGGTTTTGTTGACCAGAAGGAGCTCCAGGATTGGATTCAGTACACACAGAAACGTTATATATTAGATGATGTTGATCGACAGTGGAAAGCTCATAATCCAGATAAGAAGGAAATCCTAATGTGGGAAGATTACAGGAAAGTTACGTATGGATTTTCAGATGGTATGTAGCCTTATCTGGAGTTTTATCTAGACATTATCCCAACTGAAATTAATAGAGTAACTTGTTCCACATGAACCACTAGTATTTATTAAGAATTAGTTTAAATAATCATATAACCTAGTTCATTATCTCAGTGGATTTCCTCCAGCATAGTACAAGCTAAGGAAGAATAGTGGAAATTGTAATTCTTTACACATCTCTGTAATATAGAATTATTCCTGTTGTGACTGAAGTTCCCTATGCACTTCTGAATATCCTTCTTTCTTGCTTTTTTATGACTAGTTTTGATAAAGAATGTTTAAATACTGCTTGTCTACATATTTGCTTAAGTGTGTAGTAAGTAACTGTAATGTCTTTTTTTAAGTAGATTTTTATCTGAATATTCTTTTACCTTTATATATCGTGTATACACTGGAAACAGATCTTATATTTCTAATACAATTTTAATGTTCGACCATATTTTCAGATCTAGAGAATGTAGATGAAAGTGATTCAGAAGGTGTGACTTATAAGGAAATGATATTGAGAGACCAGCGCCGTTGGAAAGCAGCAGACAGAGATGGAGATAATGGATTGAGCAAAGAAGAATTTGCTGATTTTCTTCATCCTGAAGAAGCGAAACATATGCATGATATTGTAATCCAGGAAACATTAGAAGACATTGATAAAGACAAAGATGGCAAAGTTTCACTTGAAGAGTATATAGGTGTTTATTTTAATATTTTTATTTTTAGAATGTCTATAGGAAAAAGAAACTACAAATAACAAAATATGTTTATGTTAATAGATTTGTTTTAAAAAGTGTTGGGGCATAGCAAACTCCCAACATCAGAAAATGAAGCTTCAAGTAACACAGTACGTTTACGTTAACCCTATCGCAACTGGTCACATGTCCGAGGCCATGTTATCATATTTGTTGACTTGCATTCAAATATTTATTGAACTACTATTTTATGAATTTATTTCAATAACTTTATTATCAAATTTTTGATTATAATTCATATTTGATTATTATTTGTTAGTTAATTTCTTAATTTAAAAGTAAATATTAAAAACATAACTAAACATCGATTTTTGTGTGTCACACAGTATGTTGAATGTAGTACTAGTTCAGATTAGATGTTTGTGATGACAAAATACTAAGTCTATAGTTTCAAAAGAATTAGGAACTCAAACTATCAATATTGACAAGCTAGAATATAAAATATGAACCTCTTGTCTTTTCTATTTGCTAATGATATCGCTCATGTACTGAATCAAATGCAGTGGTCCTCGCCCACCTCTTTCCATTTTTGGAAATGCTCCCTTATACGCACTTACTCTATACATGACATGAATAACAAATCGAAAGCTCAGAATGTTCCCCTAATGGTTTTTCAGCCATTTTGATATGTTATTGTGTTAATCTCATTCTTTTCACGCAAGATTTCAAATGATAAGGTAAATCTTTAGTGAGCTCAAAATTTCATATTTTTAGACCCATATATATAACCTATAAAAATTCTCTTTTCACATCCTCCACGTGAGAAATTTCATAAGGCTTAGCAACCTAGCAAACGAGTACAAAGGTCGTAACTAGAAGAGATAATTGTTTGCTTTACTTCTTTATTTATTGTTCTGTGTTTTAAGAAAACTGAGTTAAAGAACATATTTCTAAATAGTAATAATCTATATACATATATAATGTATGATATTTGAAATGTGACTGTATTTTACAAAATACTAGTCCACTAAAACACAGCCAAGACAGGTAATTTTGTAAAGACTAAATATAGGTGTTTTATATTATTTGATATGGTATCAAGAGTGCACGTTTGCCACATCATTGTAACTTCTGTATTATTTAGCCAGGCATGACTGGAAGGTCAATATCATAAAGATAATAAATATATATAAATGTATACAACGTTTTGAGATTTAAGCTTTTTAGACAAAACATTTGTGTTTTTGTATTATAATCTGTAGTCATTCTAGAAGGAAAAAAGCATAATTTAAATTTATTTCCTAATTTTTTATGGTGGTTACAAGGCTGGTTAGTTAGGGTATTTAGGAGGTTTTAGAGATTACACAAATAATATTATAACAATAGTTTTTTTGTTATAACCTGAAAATCACTTCACACTTGGACTGGTAACGAAATACTCAATATTTTCACAAACAAGTCTGTAATAAAATTACTTCATTAAAAAATCTGTAATCTTTACTAAAAGTCTACCAAATTTTGTGAAGATGCTTGCTGCATTAAAATTTATAGTATAAATACTTAACTTGTGTATATTATACCAAGCCCATCATGATAGGGTTAACAGTTAAGTTTTAGAAAGTGTGTAAGTTATAACAAAGCAGACTTCCAACACAGGAAAATGAAACTACAAATAAAGTATTTTAATCTTGATATTTTTGTTTTCAGGAAATGTATAGGTTTGGAAAATGAAACTACAAGTAACACAATAAACCTTTCTTCATGATTAAGCTTTTCTTACATGGTCATTGGGTCAGTCTATTACTACAAGTGTTCAATGTGAACAACACCATTAACAATGCATGTGTGACACTCAGTCATGTAAATATTCCTTCATGAAATACAACAGAATTAGTATCCTTAGCATCTTTATTGGGGTTTGTTCTGTTCTATATTACAAAGTGTGTAGAATCACTGGAATGATTTCTATATTAACACTGTTAAATACACATCTTTAAATTTCAATTATTTTTACAGTGCTATGATTAAGACATCAAATTTCTCATTTTTGTTGTTGAAAATATAAGATAAGGAGTTCGAAAAATGACTTACATTGCAAATATCTTACATTTCTCTAACACCACATCTTTACAAAGAATGACAAACTACAGAAAGCTTCAAAATAATCCTCTGTCTCGTAGTAGTTAGACAATGATCATGGTCTGAGATGAAGCCTGTAATTATCTGAATATCTAATAAGTAACAAGTAGTCTTACAACCTGCTTCTGCTCAGAAGTCGGAAAAAAAAAATTTCTTTTGTTACAAAGATAGTTTTATTTCATAGCTTTTGCTAAGAAGTCAGACAAACATTTTTTGTGGTGCAAAGACAGTTTTATTTACATACCATTTGCTAAGCTTCTCTTTCCTTTTTTGAAATTTCTGTGTAAAAATTTGCTAGGTACAGTACAGTGTATATAACTGCATATTAATCATCGTTTAATGAATTTAATAATCAGACATTAAATATTGTAGCTTTTTTTAGCACGGATGCTTGAAGGAGTCATCTGTATGTAAATCCCAATATCGATGTGACTGGAGAAATGTGCAGCTTGAATGTTCCTTCACAGATATCCTGTTATCTAAATACCAAGACTTCTTTAAAAGTTTTCATAACTTTGCCACACATCCATAGTTCAAAATAAGCTCTCTTGGATTAAAAAAATAGTGGTATCTTCTAAAAACATTGTAGTTATAAGCTATAGGGATGACCAGGGACAATGTGATTGGACATGCCAATTGTTACCGTAGTGTGTGAACAATTCTTTGTATACAGAGAAAGTTAAATGTATTGTGTAACTAATGATATGTCCACTTGGACTAAAACTTAAATATTTTTCAAGGTGATATGTATGGTGGAGCAGGGGAAGGTGAAGATGAGCCTGATTGGGTAAAGAATGAACGAGACCAGTTTACAACTTTTCGAGACAAAAATAAAGATGGTTTAATGGACAAAGAAGAAGTGAAAGAGTGGATCCTACCACCAGATTATGATCACAGTGAATCTGAGGCTCGTCATCTTATTTACGAATCTGATTCAGATAAGGTATCTTTTCTTTTTCACATGATAAACATTTAAGATGTCTTTTTTTATATACATCCTCTAACAGCTAAGAAAATTATTAGTATTTTGAATGGTGTTTTACTAAAGATTTGTCTATGAATTTACAAAGCCTTTACTGAGTGAAAGGTGATTTTCATGCCAAAAATACAAATTCTTCATCTTATAGTTTTCATATTTAATTTCCATAACTTCTATTGCCTCCTAAATGAATATCAAAAGTTTTTTCATAACATTTTATACTTTATCTCGTATTTTCTCTACCCTAACATGAACTGTAGCAAAAGTTGAAAAAATCTGAAATACAATCAAAAATAAATTTTTTCTATAATGACTGCAGATTGTAACAGACAATTACAGTTTTTAGATCCTGAACAGCCACAGACTCCTAGCAGTTTCAAATTTGTTTACATTTTATTTTATTGCTCTTTGAACCATGTTTAACTAGGGTAATAAAGCAATCAATCACCCAGCAAGAACTTAGGGTAAACAAACTATCAAGCTACATCACACAGTGGCAGCCCATGTATGTTCTTTGAGGTGAAAATTTTTTTTTTCATTTAAGTTTTCTTATCTAACCTAACGAATTTCTAATACTTACACATTAGTTACTTTTGTTAGAAAATATATAACAATAAAAAAATATACATAAAAACAAAGAAATTTAGCACTTTAGTCTTGAGACCTTTTGCACCTGGATACGTGGTTTAGTAAACATTTTGGTTGTCCAAAAATAATTCATGTAGCTTTATAGTATTGAATTTAGAATACAAAAAATATACCAGGCACTATAATAGGAATGCCCCAAGCTTCTATAATTTATCTGGCTTTCTAACTAACATATAAATAGGTTTACAAAAATTCCATAACTGCTTGGAATGACTTCTTTAGTCTAAACACATCAAGCTTTCCCTGACAGCTAATTGTCTGAATTATGTAGTTTAGAATATACTTTTTCTGTTAGTTATAAACATGCCCAATAGAGGTGTCAGAGAGAATTGTAGACATTTCTCAAAAGACAGAGGATAATCGGAGGGGCATGTCAGTGTGGGTTGAAGAAAATATAATGAGATCTTAGTAAAGCAAAAGGTTGAAAATTTGTATCCTGGTCTGTAAATATATATATATAGTACATGTTTCTAAATGGTTGAACAATCTCAAGCCTTATGAGGAAAGAGAAGAGAAGAAAAAATCTATAAATGAGAAGTTAGTGCCACCAAGTCGTGACTTAGAAGTGCGTATTTCAAAGTTAAAAACATTAAAAACTAAGAAAATATAAAAAATTTGAATAATAAACTGTTTTGATGCCATATTATTAAAATCCATTGATAATAAAGTAGTTTAATTTATATTTTGAATACAACTCTGTAAAGAGGTCATGAAGTACACTTGACTCTCCATGTCGAAAGGATTAAGGTATGGTATCATCCTAATTAGTTGGCTTGTAAATTGACAACTTTACATCTAGAACATACTGCAAATACACACCACACTGTAAAACATTTAAATACTAATATCTCTTTTTAGTTTCTATAATTTTTTTTTTTCTCAATCATGAAAAGCTGGTTTTATTTTGCATTCATAGCTTTTGATGAAGACACCTCTTTCAGTAATGAGCCGAGTTTTGTTTCTTCTTGTCTCGACAAACAATAAAACAACCTACATCTTTGATCAGAAAGGATTGCTTATCTATTTTATATCTGATTATATTGCTGACTTTCCAGAATTGTACATATTAGAAGTTTGTACAGAACACAAAAAATATTTTTAGTTTTTACACAATACTAAAGTACTTCCATTGTTAACCTTTTGCAGAAAACAAAAATATATTGTTTTGTAATCTATACACAATTATTGAATCATGTTACAGTTATGTAATTAAGAATCTCAACTCTGGTTTTGTAATCTTGTTAAAAACAGTGTGGCTAAATTGAAGATTCTACAGACATGATTATTGTTCTGTTGTTAGTAAACATTTGCTGCTTTGCAGAGAACTTTTCATGTAAGCAGAACGACTTGAGCTCAGTTATCTATTAAAGAAGTAGTGTATTTTTCTTAGATCAAATCTATTATTGCGTGTACATTTTTTTCATTTCATATTGAATACAGTAAAGTTTTTTTTTTTTCATCCCACTACTACAGGACCAGAAGTTAACGAAAGAAGAAATTCTGGAAAAATATGACCTCTTTGTTGGAAGCCAGGCTACTGATTTTGGGGAAGCTTTAATGAGACATGATGAGTTTTAGTCTGTAATCTTTCAGTATGAGATAAAAAGAAATTACAATGTTCTCATATTATTAAATAAGAGATTAAAACATGGAGCTCTATGAACAAATGTATTCTTAAAACACTATTTACATTGTTTATAGCAATTAAGATTAAAAGGGATTTCATTTTTCATTGTCTATTAATTTCAAGTACCGGAAATTTTTTTTTTTTTTAATTTGCAAAGATTTGTGTAATACCTATAAAAGTGTTATAAGGCTGGTGCATGGTAATGACATAGTTATTATAGTGTCTTCTATAAATTGTATGTGTACAAATAAGCTTCAGTGTAAGTGCTGTGTTTGTGTGTCACATAAACTTACATTGGTAGCGGAGAACTATGCTATTAGTACTGCTATGTTTGGTAATGTAGGAGTAACCAGAACTGTTTGTACTTTACTATTGTATACTGACATTGTCATGACTGTTGTATCCAATATCCAATACATTACTATCATATACTGACATTGTTGTCACTGATGTATAAAATATCCAATACATTACTACCGTATACTGACATTGTTGTCACTGATGTATAAAATATCCAATACATTACTACCGTATACTGACATTGTTGTCACTGATGTATCAAGTTTCCAATACATTACTACTGTAAACTGATATTGTCATGACTATTATATGAAATATCTGATGTGTTACTACCATGCACTGACATTGTCATGACTGTTATCAGACATCCATTATTACTACTGTACACTAACACTGTTATCAAACTTCCAGTACTTTACTACTGTACATTAACATTGTAATGACTTGTATCAGACTATCAGTACGTTACTACTGTACACTTACATTGTTGAGACTGTTTTATCAAACTTCCAATTCTTTAAATATTAGTTTGAAATATAAGATTATCAGAAAATAAAGTTTCTGGTGGTAAAGAGTGGATATTTAGCAAAAAGTGAAGAAGCTAGTATTTCATGCTTTAAATTTTGAGTTTTTCCCTTTATGTCATAACCATTCAATGGTAGGGCATTGATAATAATAATAATAAATGGTGAGGGAGGAGAGTTACCCACATGTCAGCAACAAAAAGTTACAGGTTACGTTATTGAAATCTTAAGTTACTTTCAAAATATTTAGTTGCAGGATCTTTTTGGTAGTTCAGTAATAATTTCATAAATGTTAATTTAGCAACAGGTAGGTAATCCACATCATTATGGTTAAAAATGTTTTGGTGTCCAGTAGAGGAATAGCCACTGTAAGATCCTCATGTAACTAAAAAGCTTGTCTACCCATATGTGTGTGTTTTATCATTTGCATAATTTATAATTCTATTATTGTTATTAATTTAAATCTATCCATTCATTAGCCACAGTCTTCAAAGCATTTATGTCTAAATAGGGACAAAAGATAGAGTACAAATTTTTTGGCCTGTTTAAATTATTCAAACATAAGTCAAATGTTAAAAATATAACAAATTTTAGTAGTAACTAAATGTTTTTAAAGAATAGGTATTACTACATAAGAATATGTACATTTTTCAAGTCAAAATATGTACATTAAATTAACATGAAATTGTTTCAGAATAAAACAATCCAAGACTTGTTTTAGTTTAACTATCAATGATTTCCTTTTATTGATACAAAGTATTTTAATGTTCTTTTGTTTTTTACCACTGAGAGATATTTTACTAGTCTACATTTATGCTCTGAATTTTTAGATTTGGTGGGTCTGGTTCAATTTCATGCAATTCCACAAAATAGTCCCCATATTTCAAACTGTGGTTACAATACAAGAGTGACAGTCAGTCCTTTAGCTTGGATGATGAGTGGTAGGGTGCTGCTGACTAGCCGCCTTCCCTCTGGTTAGTATTTTAAAATTAAGGATGGCAATGGCCAGTACCTTTAATAGCTTTGCCAAAAATACAAATATTTAAGTTTTTGTATTGACTTTACATTTAGTCCTTTAATATAGCATAACTTAAAGTTAATGATAGCACTGATGTTACTCAAAACTGGTCTTTTGTCTAACCTAGAGAAGCAAGTTTATTAAAAGATGAAGCTTTTAATATTTTTCTGACAGTTAATACTTGAAAAATAATTAATATCTGAAGCCATCAGTACTTCAAGAAATTACAGAATTGACAAAAACAATTGTATTAATTATTATTATTATTATTACCATGGTTTCAACAATATCTGATGATGCTTTTACTGGCACAACCTTGGTCATAATAAATAAAATATTTGTGAAATGTGGAGTTGTCTTTCTTTTCTTCAGTTCTATATTTTAGACAGTAACACCTGCTTCTCAACTGTTATTATTAGCTAGAAAACTAAGTTGTATTTTTAAAACTTTTGTAAAACCATTGAGAGAGAAGAATCACAAATGAAATATTACCAGGAGGAAAGAAATTTCATGTATTTTTGAACGTCTATAATGTTTGTATTACCTAGGTCTAAGATCCTATGTATGTTTAATAAAAATTATTGTAATTCATGAGTTATAAAATACACTTTTTTTTAGTTATTATAATCAGGTGTTGCATAAATATGTTTCTTATTCTTGTTTTAGAAGTAGTGCCATTTTTTAAACTTTTCATTTAATTAGAATAAGTTCCTGACAAATATTTTGGAGTTCTACTTAAAGAAATTAGTGTTGATGTTTTTTAATTTAAGAGGAAAAGTTTAATGTGCCTAACTTCGCATATTAGAACCTTTTCCTTATATTGCCAAACTCCACTTGAAGCTTTAAATTTTGGATGAAACTTGTTAAATCTTTACAAATTCAAAATAATTACACAACCTGTTACTTTTACAAGTGTGAGTATATGTCTTATATTATTTACTTATTTTTTGTATACTGCTGTACACCATGTTATGATAAAGTAATAAAGATATGCATACAGTTTGTTCTTGCACCTGCGTACACTTATTAATTATAGGAAAAGTGTTGAAGAAGTTAATGGAAAAGTTTCTACCAACACTGTTTCCCTGCAACAGAATAGCACTATCTTCACATATTACAACATATCTGCAAGAGCAGATGTTCACGTTACAGTGACAACAGTCTTGTTTATTTTCCAAACCCTTTAATTACATTGTGCCACAGGGCCTATGTTATTATATCTGTTACTATGTATTTTGTAATAGAATCTACAGCATATATTAATCTCTCTATTTCCCCACGCATATAATGCATCCCAAATCTTCTGTACAATAACATGCCTTTGCAGTAGTTTGGAGATAATTCTCAGACATTCACTGCTTTCCTTGTGTGCTCTATATTGCTATTTATCCAAGATAAACTGTTTTCACTTGTATAAGAGGATTTCTTAATCCCAGAAAAGTCAAAGCGACAGATATTGGAGAAGGCCCAAGTTTGTAATACTGGATACCTATAAAGTGTGCACACACATATATCAATATGAATAAATTACACAAGTGAAAGCAGAAGACAATGTTTGAATGCTAGTAAAAGATGAATGAATACGATGTTACAAAACAATGAACTCCACCACAAAATCATAACCTAGTTTTAAAAAAAAAAAATTTCATTCATATTATGAACTAAAATAAAACCATAACATCACAAATAGTATAACCTTCTTTGAATGTGAGCCATAGGTCTACATATTGTATACTTTTATAAATACTGGATATATTTCGTGTTTGCATAAATAAACTTAATTTTTCAGAGTGTGTGATATTAGAAATATTTTTAGCCTAATAGAGTTGGAATTTTCTTTATATTTTGCAAACTGTTTTAATGAAAATATAATATTAATCTGATTATGCTTTTACTTTGGATAAATTATTTCCCATCTACAAAACCATCAATTTCTTTCCAGCTGGAATAAATCTGACTGGATCCTTATATCACATACTTAGATTCTGCTAAGCTGTATGACTGCACGAATCCCCAGTTTTGATGTTACGTTCTGCAGGAGATTATGCCCTCGAAAAATAACCTTGTGAATTTTCATTACCCATTGCACAATTTATAAATACAAAGAAATAAAGTTACATTACATTGGAATACCAATTCCAAAATAATAATTAAATTGGCTGTTTAAAAAGAAAGTGACTAAATGAGGTGGAATTCCCTTGTGCTAAAAATAGTCATTGCCTAACCCCGTTATAAAGAATGAACCGGTTGACTGTGTCAGCAACTTCTGTATCCGTGGTTCATTCTTTCTTAAAGTGGTGCTTGTATTAATCAACCTTTACAGCATACACAGTAACAGTGGCAATACACATTACTGACTTCTCCGGTTCTAACCACAGGACGAATGAAAGCTAGGAAATGGGGGAAAATGAACAATCATGTTCACGCACCAAATGAATACTGGTTCTACCCTGAATACATCAGGACCTGCAACAAAAAGGGCTAATTTTAATCAAAACTTTCAGTGCACATGATCATCCTAGAATGGTCCAACGAAAGGTAGTATTCCAACCATTACTGTGTTTGTTGTGTCCTAGTGCACCTGAAGAGCACTGGATTAAGTGAAACACGTTGTTGGAAATGGATAGTATGAATACTGTGTGGTTGAAATACTATTATTATACATTCACTAATTCTTGGAAATCCATAAGGGACTAAATTAGGAACGTAGTGTTAAAAAATATAATACGACTAACATAATGTTTTATGACATACATTTAAAAACAAAACAGGATATGCTACCTTTTGCTTTAAACCTTTATTTACAAAATGAAACTGGATTTTTCTTCATTGACAACAACATGAACTTCCTGGTTTGAGTTCAGACAAATAAAATTCCTTAACATTACTTCACTGTCTTGAACCCAAGAATAACTGAAGCTTCAGACATTTTCAAGACCTGCAAGATAAATAATATCAGAGTTCTGTATTTAAAAACAAAAACGTTAATTGGTCTGTGCTACATTACTTATTTAACTAACTTAGTTTTAGTGCAATCCTCAGCTATACAGAATTGTTACTCTTCATACATCAGGAAGTTTCATACAGAGAGTTAGTGAAGTATACTGCCATGAACCAAGGGAAAAAGCAAAATATGTAATGGTAATCATTGCATATTAGCACAAAAATTAAGGTTTCATTTAACTTGCTCCATTCCTCCCTTTATATGTGTTCCTTATGGTCTCATAAACTGCCTAAAGATTAGCCCTACAGAAAATAACTTGAACAAGAGCCAAACAGTATTAGTTAATAGAATGAAAAAGAAAGAAATGGTACTAGTTGAATAAACATGAACAAGTATATTCATGCATCAGGAATTAACTTAAAACAAACATTTTGTCAAGCACTTTCTGAAGATAGTCTTCCAAAGGTGGTCAGTGAAAATCTAATGAATGTAGAAATACTATTTAAGGCTATACTATTCAAGTACAACTGCATAGAAGCAAACTTATTAGTATAAATTTTGGTGATTGCAAGATGGTCCAATTATTTAAACTCAATTAACATTTGCTAAAGATAACTTTGTAAAAAAAAATGTTTACCTTGTGAATTGCACAAAGCATTTTTTCAAACTGGCCATAATCACATATGCCTATCAGGGTATAATCACAAAACACCTCTTGTCAATAATGCCTAAGGGGGGTATAATCACATAAAAGTTCTTGTAAAAAATGATTAACGGGGTATAATCGCAAAAAACTTCTTGTAAACAAAACCTAACAAGATATATAATCACAAAAAAAATTCTTGTTGAAAAAGCTTAAAAACTGTACAATAATGTAAAGTGCTTGTCGAAAAAGACTAATAGGATAAAATTACAAATGCTTCTTGTCAACAAAGCCTAACAGGGTATAGTCACACTGAACCTCTTGTCAACAAAGCCTAACAGTGTATAAAGATTGACTGCATTAATTACAGTTCTAGAGTTAAATCCTAAATCACTTTACAAACAAATAGTCATAAAATTACTAAACGACACTGAAGTCCAGTCTAGTAAAGTAGTATCATTTAATGTGTGAATCCAACCTCAACTGCCACTGAATGTACGGATAGTGTTAAATATAAACTATTTATCTATATGCTATATCAAACCTGGAATCATACTGATCAAATCATTCCAATTTTTGTCTTTTATCTGGAGGTAAAAATTCTTCTGAGCTGGTAGGTGAAGTCTGATTCGCTACCTCCAGTTCTTGATCAGAACACTGCTGGGAAAAGTAATTCTTCAACAGCTTCTGTAGATAATCTTCTAAAAGTCTTGCAGTACTATACAAAGTACACCCCACCTATTGAATCAATATATTATTATTATTGAATCTGGTAAGTCTTCTTCCAAACTTTATCTTCAAAAACAGGAAAATTGTTGGCTTTTTGAATTGTATCCATTTTCATTCTATGCTACTTTGGTCCTTACTTAGCGTTGTGACTAAAAGTACTACCAATGACATTGAGAGTACCCTACTGATGATTTAATGCAATCTTGTCAAACTAACTGGTTAGTAATATATATATACAAGATATACTGGTAAAAACTAAAAAAAAACAGTACAAAAAAACCATAGATTTAACCTTTTTTTCTTTTCTTTTTTCGGTATTCTTGTATTTTCAGACATTACCACTCTCAAGCTGGTTTTACTTGGGTTACTTTTCAGTACAAACATAAATTTTTACAAAGATTAAGTAAACTATTAAATAAACTTCTTACATTTTGTTTAGCTTTAGCATAAAATACTGTATAAATGGTTTCTTTACTTTTGAAGAAGTAATAAGTTCACTTATTTGTATGAAAGATAAAACACTGAGTCAGATATCATGTC